TTCCTTTGTTTAACACAAGGGTGCGCGCATTTGCGTTACCCCTTTGTGCCTTATAAATAAACTGAGCTCCTGTGCTAGTCAGGACTTCCATACAGAGACTCCAACTTGAATCAGCATCTTGCCTGACTCTGCTTGGCACTACTGAAGTACTTAATTTCCTTGTACCAAAGAGCTGAATACAACGTGCTTTTAAGCGCGGCGGAATTGGTTGCACTTTGCGTGCATTGATATCCGCAAGTGTACTTCTTAGCGCAGCTGAGATTTGTGCGCACAGCCCAAGCGAATTTCTATAACAGCACTGACCAGATATGCTTGACCAGTATATAGCCAGCTTTGGGATTCTTCTTCAGGGACAAGAAGGTACTCTTCCACCAACCCATCACATCGACCCCCCCCGGTGACTTACATGAACTGCATATCCAAGAATTCTTCAAAGAGACTTTATCCAGTGGAGGACATGACATGCACTCTAGGTGTTTCTTGCAGGGGAGTTCTGCCCAAGAATCCTGCACATTTTGGCAAATTTGGCAAAGAGAATCCGCCAGGCCATCTTCGCAGTAGTGCACAGCTGCAGAGAACAGCTTCAGCTGTTAAAGAATGTCAGGTTCAGCTAGATGTTAAAATTGCTTTTCTATATGCAGACATTAAGGAAGATCTCTACATGGAGCAACCACCAGGGTTTCACTTGCATGCTAAGGAGTGTTTTGATGGTGGAGTGTTTTACAACACTCCAGCGAATGAATTTCTGGAAGTATCCCTTGGCAACTAATCTGGCCTTGTATTTGTGGATATTTCCTTCTGCATCAAGCTGCACCTTAAAAGTCTGTTTCCTATAGTTCAGCGATCAAGGGTTAGCTCTGTGAGTGTCCAGATTTTATTTTCTTGAAGTGATTTTATTTCTTCTGCTGCCTGTTGTCATTGATTGGCTTCATGTTTTGGTATTTTTTCTATGTCTTCCCATGATGTTGGTTCGAGTATGCTATGTGTCTTAGCAGCATATAACAGCATGCAGGGTGGTATTCTCTTTGCTGCCCGAGTGGATCTTCTAATTTCAGGTTGTTCAGCAGAATTTAACATGGAACTTGACCTATCCATTGTGAGTTCCATCTCTTGTTCGGACTCCTGTGCGGCTTCACTTTGCTCAGCTTCCTTTGCTGGTTAACTGGAAAAATTCACTTCACAACTCTGCGGGATCATTGTTTCTGGTGATGGGATCTCATTGAAAAAAAAGCTGTGGCTTATTCAGTCATTGAGTGGAGGATTCTATACTCCTTACTTTGTTCACTACAGCCCACCAGAATACCTTTTATGGCTGTGTTATCCAACTTGGACCGCTTCTCGTTGGGATATAGGTGTAAGCTTTACATCCAAACACTCTAATGTGCCCTAGGCTAGGCTTCGATCCATGCCACATTTCATATGGGGTGCTTTCAACGGTTTTTGATGGTAGTCTGTTCTGTAGGTATGTTGCTGTCAAGACTGCTTTTGAAAACCTCAAACTGATGCATCTAATTGTCCTTCAATTTAGGGGAAATGTCAGCAGATGGTTCCTCTTTGAATGAGGACTCCTGAGAACTGGAGACAGTTCCTTCCTCCCCCTTCTTCCACATAAAGCGAAAACACAGGTAGAGGAGTGTCAGAGGGGGTCTCTGAGGGAGCAGGAGAGGGAGCGTGCTTGCAGCCCCTGTGGTTGGAAGTATTAAACAGATCAGCCATTTTTCCCATGAAATCCATCATAACAGTGGTAAATTCCTTTCTAGATAGCATATCAGAGAAGGGTGGCCCAGAAGGGGCAGAGAAGGACATCCATAGTAGCTCAGGGCAGTGGTGAATGGTGCCATATGACACTTAATGGCAGCGGAAGGTGACTCAAGAGCAGCGGTATGGCGTATACCTCCCTGTAGACAGAGTGGCAGCAGAGACTGCACAGCATGTGTGCTGGCTGAAGGTGCACACCAGAATGAAGAAAGATGGGGAGTGCATGTACAATATAGTACCTTGGGAGGAGCTGCTGTTTCCTGCCTTTAGGTCCTAAGGAAAGACTATTGGTGTCAAATTCAACTGTCTTAAAGTGTGACACTGAACTTGCCCATGAGCCTCAGAATTAATCCTATAGGGGCCTGAGTCTACAACCTGGGCAACTGGGGGAGCAATGCTGCAACTTACTGAGAGGCTTTAGGTCCTTACCAGAATGTGCAGCAGTCAGCAGGGACATGAGATCCCAACTTTAACCTTGGATAGACATACCCCCTGGGGGGGAGGGGGGGGGGGTCTTTAGGGTCAGTGCTTCATAAAAGCAAGGAGGGTAATCAACACAGAATCCAGTGTGTTATATCAATGTATAGAGGGGAGTCAATATCACAAGATATTTTATAACTTCACTGAACAGTAGAACAAGTGGAGACAGATGGCCACCATAAGAATTTGAATAGACAGCTTGGGCCTGGAGATGGAAGGAAGGATCTCATTTGACTGCAACCAGAAGCCATTTTCCTGCGAACACGTGATTGCCAAGAAGTCCTGTTCTTTATGGAATATGCAACTGGAAGATGAGCACCTTTAGTGTATCCTCTTATACAAACCATTCCATGTAGTAGAACGGATAGATAAGAAGGTGCATGTGTATGTTTGTTTGCAGGCAGCCTTATGTTTGTTTCGTACTGCTTTTCCTGTAACTAAGTTTATGCATTCAGCATTTTTGCATAGTAAAAGTACCTTAAATGCTACTGGTTCAGTTTCCTTGAGCTTTACTGCAAGAATCAGACAACAAATATCTGTAAAAGTTTTGCCAAGAATTACAGTTCAGCAAGCTAACTTTGAGTGAGTCACCCTCCAGTGGCACGCAGTGGCATTACATGAGTTTCACAGGAGCATTTTATCAGCCCAAAGTAAGCGCTCTTCTCCCTCCTCCTCCGCCAAACCAGGACCCCGATCCAGTTAGCGAGTCGCTGTGGGCTTGCAGTCCATGACACAGTGTAAAGCACATTACAGGCCTGCTCTGCATCTTTCTTCCAGCAGGGTCTGTGTACAGCCGCCAAGGCTCTGCCGAGGAGGAAACTGATCTAGAAAGCTGCTGGAGGCACCACAGTGTCTTTGAGCAGAATTAGGGTAACTTCCTTGAAGAATCTTGCAAAAAAAAAAAAAAATCAGTAAAAATAATGAAAAAGAGAGAACTCTCAGAGTTGAGACAGACTGTCACCTAAGGGCAATAGCAAAACACTGAGACCGGTTGGGAGTGCGAGGGGTTATGCAGGGCTGTCTTGGAATTGTTATTGATTTTCCAGTGTTCAATCACTCAAAGGTAGTTCCATAACTCAGTGGTGTAAGAATTAGCTCCCTGTGTTCTGTGATGTACGATCAAGGAAAGCTATTTCTTGCTATAGGAAATGCTGGAGCATGCCCTTAAAGGATGGGGGAGAGTTACAGGCATCTTAGAGAGTCTGAGTGTCTCAGAAGTAAAGATGGGCAGAGGTTCACCAATCTGTGAAAAGCTGTGTCTAAAAATTGGCAAACAATTTCATAAAAATGTTCAACGTAAAATTGCAAAGACTTTAAATATATCATCATCTACTGTACATAATATCATCAAAAGAGTCTAAGAATCTGGAGAAGTCGCTGTGCACAAGGGACAAAGTGGAAAAACAATATTGGATGCCTGTGATCTTCGGGCCCTCAGATGGCACTGCATTAAAAAGAGGCATGATTCTGTGATGGACATCACTGCACTGGCTCAGGAACAGTTCCAAAACTCAATGTCTGTGAACACAGTTTGCCATGCCACCCAAAATTAAAAAGTTAAACTTCTATCATGCAAAGAAGAAGCCATATCTGAACATGATCCAGAAACACTGCCGTCTTCTCTGGGCCAAAGCTCAGAAAATGGTCTGCTGCAAAGTGGAAAACTGTTCTGTGCTCAGATGAATAAAAAATTTTACATTCTTTTTGGCAACCATGGGCCTCCTCTGGACTAAGAAGGAGAGGGACCTCCCGGCTTGTTATCAGTGCTCAGTTCAAAAACCTGCATCTCTGATGGTATGGGGTTGCATTAGTGTATATGGAATGGGCAGCTTGCACATCTGGAAAGGCACTATCAATGCTGAAAAAAATATACAGGTTTTAGGGCAGCATATGCTCCCATCCAGACAACATCTTTTTCAAGGAAGGCCTTGCATATTTCAGCAGGACGATGCTAAACCGCATACTGCATCTATGACAACAGGATGGCTTCATAGTAAAAGAGGCGGGTGCCTGCAGTCCAGACCTTTTACCAATTTAAAATATATGGCGCATCTTGAAACAAAAAATACAATGAAGACCCAGGACTGTTGAGCAGTTAGAATCCTATATCAGGCAAGAATGGGACAACATTCCTCTTCTAAAACTTCAGCAACTGCTCTCCTCAGTTTCCAGATGTTTACAGAGTGCTGTTAAAAGATGAGGGGATGCTACACCGTGGTAAACATAGCCCTGTCCCAACTTCTTTGAGACGTTTTGCTGCCATTCACTTCAAAATTATCTTTTTTTTTTCTTAAAATTGTAAACACAGCAGCCAATGACCAAAAGCACAACCTTGGGCTTAAGACAGGAGCAGTTAACAACAGATTAAGATTTATTTACTTGCCGACACCTATTTACTTCCCTCTAGGGGAACAGGTAATGAAACTACTGAGAAAGCCCTAAGAAGACAACCAGAATGTTTAAGCAAAGATAATTTTGACACTGGGCTCAAATCCCTAAAAAACAAAAAAACTTGCCTTGAATCACAGAAGGAAATCATAAATGTCTATTTTGCTAGTCAGTAGTAAACCATAAATTAAAGTCTATAAATAATAAAAGATGGGATTGAATTCTGTTGGAAATGAATTATTCCTGAAAGGAAACTGGTGAAGATGGCACAAGAGAAATCTGCTATAAACTGTAAAATCAATTCCTGAATTCCAAATTCAAGAAGACAGAAAGCTTCAGTTATGAGATATACCTCGTATAAGTATTAAACTTACGTCTGCATTTGTATCCTTGTTTGTTCAAGCCCCTGTAAAATAAAACACAGTGAGTAGTCAGTGGTACTCTCCATGCAGAATAATCGCCTTTCCTGACAAAGGGACCATAATGTAATTAGAATACTATGGAAAAAAAGTAGGAAAAAAGAAAATAGCACTGAGCTTCAAACTCAAAAAATATTCCTAAAATGTGAGAAAAATAGTATGAAATGTGAAATTGTCACAAAGTGAGAAACAATTTTGTGTCATACACAACACTTGTCACTGATATATGCTGTCAGGAATCACATGGGTTAAGTCCTCCTTACCACACAAATTCTTTACACACAGAGCAAAATGTTGGCTGACCAAAAAATGTGGCAATGAATTCATGGTTCTTAATGTAGTGTATTTTAGCCTGCTTGATGGCACCTCTCCTCCTGTTTATAGTCACCAGGCCCTCATCTTCTCGTACGGACTGTTTGCAATCTGTTAGAAAAGAACATGAGATGAAGTGAGAGAAGAACATGAGATGTAGTGAGAGAAAGTGCTACAGATGCAGAGTAATGGCAGAAAGCGCAGACTCCTCGGGTCTCATGGTCAGGGCAGCCTTCAGAAATTTTGTGGCCCCTTACACAGCTTTAGGTCTGGGCCCCCCTCCGCACCGCCGCCCCCCACCGCACTCACACTGAGCCAGTCACATCAGTCTCTGTACAGAGGAGCTGACACTCTAATGTCCCCTCCCCCACAGTCACATCAGTCTCTGTACAGAGGAGCTTACACTCTAATGCCCCCCCACAGTCACATACTATTATTATACATTTATATAGCTCTCGGACTCTCGGATTAGTGACGTGCTGGACTCCAGTATACACCAAGGTATACACCAAGATGGCAGTGCACACATGTTCAGGTTCCGCCATCTTGGTGTATACCAAGATATACTCCAAAATGGCGGCATGGCGCTCGATCTGCAATTTCTTTGTGCGGTTTCGGATTCGGAGACTCATTGCCTCTGAATCCAAAACAACATTAAAATTTGTTTCCTTTGACGAAACAAATACAAATGTTTCTCATTTTCATTTGTTTCATCTGAACCAAATTTGCACGTAGGCGCATACAACATGTGTTTGCGTTGTATGTGCGTGGACGTAGGGGACGGGAGACCTTAACTGCTTGCCGTCCGCCCGTTGTGAAAAAATTGAGGGAAGGCAAATTCACATAGGCGGGTTGCCGTAATTAGATGGCATTTTTTCCTGCTCGCACACGCCCCCTAGCGCGTGCACGGGCCGAAAAAGCCTGTTTTTTCTGAGGAGCCGTTACCGGCTGTTTGACATACAACCGATCGGCGGCTCTATAGCCGCCAATTGCTTGTATGTTGTGGCTGCGTGCCCCCCTCCTAGAGTGTCGCCACCCCCCTCCTGCACCCTCCCCTTCAATCCTGGGATCCGCTACCCCATCTGCGGCCCGGGACCGGCTCGGGAGGGTGTCAGGAGGAAGATGGGAGGGTGTTCAGCATCTTCCTCATTGCTGATCTCCCTCAGTACTGTGAATGCGGAAGTGATGTTTAATACATCATTTTCCGCATTCACCTGTCAGTCATCTGGCTGCTATAGCCAGAGAGAAGAAGCTGGGGGAGCAGATCTCTGCGCCTATACTTGTATTTAAACACCAATTGTCTACTGTTTAAGGGCCTGTTCACACCACTTGCAGTGCGTTCTGGCCCGATTCCGGCCGGAACGCACTGCATCGCCCTGCGGCCGGCTCCATTTGTTCCAGGGCAGGAGGGAGCGTGGCGGGCAATTGTAGTGATTGGCACCGTAGCCACACCCTTCGGCCGCAATGCGATCGCCCGCACACTATGCCTGCGGTCTGGTGCGGTTAAAATAGTGCTTGCAGATCCTGTGCGGGCGATCACATTGCGGCCGGAGGGCGTGGCTACAGCGCCAGTCACTTCAATGGTCTGCCACGCCCCCTCCTGCTCGGAACGCACTGCAAGTGGTGGGAACAGGCCCTAAAACGGTACCAAGAACTGCAGGAGCAGCCATGCTCTTGGTCCTTCCAGCGGAGGACGTACAATTACGTGAACCCGCGGGCAGTAGTTAAAAAAAAAGCACACACGTAATGAAACACACACATCACACACTTATTAAAAAACACACACATCGCTTCATTAAAAAATAAATAAATCACACACACTTATTAAAAAACACACAATAACACAACTGTCACAACTAATAATAGTACATTAAAAAATGTCCCCCTCTCCTGCTTACCTGTTTTGCAGGAAGGGGGGCTTCATCCCTGGGCTCCAGGATCAGTGCGATCTGCACTCTGGCTGATGCAGATCATACTAATTGCTCCCTGCCAGTCAGTGGCGGAACCAGAGGGAGTGATCAGCATGATCTGCATCAGCAAGAGGTGCAAATCATACTGGTTCATTCCCCACTGGACCACCAGGGAATGATTTTCATTTAATATATTGCCGTTTCGGCAATATATTAAATGGGAGGTGGGCAATTGCCTAATGTGCACAGGGCGGACACCGGAGGCCCGCACAGATCACCCGAGGTGAGGATGTGGAGAGTGCAGGCCCCGGCTTCCTCCGGTGCTGCGGGGGCCCGGCCGCCTCCAGTCACTTGTACGGCCGATACCCAGGTAAGGTTCCCGGGCCCCTCAGGCTGCCCGAGCCCCTTACTTGAGTATCGGCCGTTCCCCCCTGACGGCGGCCCTGCTCATGATGTCTGTCTGACGTGCACGGTCACAGCTGCGTGCATTCACATCCACTGTGTCTCTCCTCTTCTCCCTACCGAAGATCTCTACTGTGCTTGCGCCCACCCCATCATCCTGCACGGCCGCTTGAGAAGCTTCAGATCTTCAGGCCGGAGTAAGCGGCGGAGACCCAGGTAAGTATTTTTATTTTTTTTATGTTTTGCATATATCTACTGCTTGCCAGCAGTAGATATATGTAAAAAAAGTGATTTTAATACTACTTTAAGTGCTGAGATAATTAAGAAAGAACAAAAGGTATTGTAGCCATCAGTATATTAACAAAACAAAAAAATACATGTAAAAAAACTATAGCTGTTAAATAAAATGCAAAAAAATATGTGCAAGACTATATAACCTAATCCATTGGTCCAGCCTCCTGCGTTGTGCCTCTTCAGCAAACAGCACAGAACCATGAAGAAGCAGGGCAAATTGCTATTGTCTTTGAACTTTGCTGCAGAAAGACTTGGTCAGCAAAAGGTTATGAATTAAGATATTACCAAAATGTTGCATGCAACAGTTAGTCTTCTCTTCAGCCTGCATTCACATCTGCGAGTGCCATGTAAAATGCGCTATCCATTTGCGATGCCATTTCTAGTGAAACCCTAAATGGGGTCAGGAAGAAACACGTTTTTGCACGCCTGAAAACACGCACAAACCTGGCAGCAAAAAATGCAGAATGCATGCAGCAAAATCTGCTACATGAGCTTTATTGCCACGTCTGTCACATGTGCAGGCCCCAATGAACTCAATGGGGACACGCAGTAAAGAAACGAGCACAAACGTACATGAGCGTGCGAACGCCTGTGTGCACAGGTGTGAATGCGGGGGTCACAGATCAAACATATATATAAAACAATGCATTTATCCATACGCTGTACACAGACAACAGACCAGACAGATACATCGAAACAGCCTGCAGGACCTTATTGTGAAACACACAGTTTCTCCACAGCAAAGACATTCAGGTAGGCAGTGCACTGACCCTTTCGGTGAACAGACACAGCACCTTGCATGGTAAAAGCTATAGCTTCTACACAGCTATCCTGGGACTGTACTCCGCATATACACAACAGTGACTGATGACCTGCTCTGTTCTTTAATAGTAATGGCATGGAGTAGCTTATAAATTCAACAGTTTGTAAACTTTATTTATTATACATTAGACCAGGGGATGCACTACCTGCCATTCCAGAAATTAAATGGTTAAGTCATTATACATGTCATGTCCTTTAATAACTTCACACCTTTGTAAAGTGTGAGATTCTCTGCTGAGAGAACACTGTATATCAGAGGATAAATAATTTAGAGCACAGTACCATACACCAAGTGGATAGAGAACATCAACATAACACCACAATGTATAACTGCAATTTACTTTATACTCAGGTCTTTAGCATAACTTACCTGTGTCCTCCAGAAAGTACTGCACTGACATTAGAACTTTTGCTTGAGGCTGCAGATCCAGCTGTGGAGGATATGAAAATTTAGAAGCTACACAAACATGAAGAATATTACATTTATTGTTCATACTTCATGCTCACCCAAAACTCAGATTTCCCATTTCCCTTTTTGCACCGTTCAGCAAGCACAGACACCCCAACTGTGGCTTCGGAGAGTGGGTCTTCAGCCGCCTTCATCAGCACTATCTGGATAACACGGCCCTCATAGATATGAGCATCAAATGTGGACTTCCAGTCTGGGTACATTGTGGGCTTCTTCTGTACCAAGGTCTTTCCTCTCTCTGTAACAAATACAAACTGAGATGATTATTTGTTGTGACACAGAAATCAATGACTGCCAGCGTCTAAACGACATTTATGTACACCACATAACATTACATATAATACTGGTGTGGCAACAGGGGTCACATGAGTTGCAACAATGACTGTGCCTCCTTATAAAGGGGACCCCCCCCCCCCCCACACTATTGATGCATCTACACTTACTTGTAATGTAATGTAGAGGGAACTGAGATGAGCTGTGTCAGTCACATAACCTGGAGTTGTGTAAGTACAAACATTTTTGGCAGGCTGATAGTGCAGTAACCCTATCCTATGACTCCTGTATATATGAGAGTCTGAGAAGTCATATGATTAAACACGAGAAAGCATCACTGAAGCTAGCCCAGCGTTGTTTTCCTGTACCACACTATTTTAAATAATAAAACTGTCACTAATCCACAATAAAAGTACAGAATTAAAAGTCAGCAAATGTTGGGAGGAGAGAGAAGTGGGCTGCCTGGTCTCATAAATTGCACCAGAACTTGGGGGGCTTTACTACTATGATATAGAGAATATACAGTACATGCACATAGAGGATATGTAATTGAATCGAACTAGGGCTGCAGCTAACGATTATTTTCATAATCGATTAGTTAGCCGATTATTAACTTCGATTAATCGGATAAAATAAAAACTTAGAGGGGCGCATGCGCGCGGCTGACCAAGATGGACGCTCACTGATCAGCTCCGCGCCAGAAAGGGAGAAACAGAGACCTATTTAGACTATCACTGCCCTCCAAATTAACAGCAACGAGTCTCCTCGGGTTCGGGATCCCCCCGCCGACAAATACCATCAGATACCGTCATGTCGTGCACCAGGAGTCGGGGTGGTAAGCTGAATCAGACTGCGCTACACGAGGCTTTAGGCCGCGTGGCTAACAAGATGGGGCTGGCACCATTAGAGGGGGACGACGATTCCCGCTCCTCGGCCGATCACTCGGACCCCCCTGAGGATAACTCGCAAGCCAGCCAAGCTGACCCTGAAGTTACCCGCTCCTTGCTTTTTTCCATTCAATTTTTTTTATTGTTTTGTAATAGAAATTAACATAATACAAAAATACAGAGAGAGAAAGAAATGCCCCCAACATGGGGTACATTCCGCCAGGCTTGGTTGAATCACATAGATTCCATAGTACAAAGCATCACATGACCGAAAATATCCGTTATCGTACAGAGGTTATACATCAATCTGCGGACCCCCTCTCGTGGCGTCCCGTCACGCACAGAGACGGGACACATAGGAGAGGACCTATATTCAGAGGAGTATAGGTCCTCTCCTA